ATAAACACACAGTGCACGGGATAAACACACAGTGCACGGGCTAAACACACAGTGCACGGGATAAACACTCAGTGCACGGGATAAACACTCAGTGCACGGGATAAACACTCAGTGCACGGGATAAACACACAGTGCACGGGCTAAACACACAGTGCACGGGATAAACACACAGTGCACGGGCTAAACACACAGTGCACGGGCTAAACACACAGTGCACGGGCTAAACACACAGTGCACGGGCTAAACACACAGTGCACGGGCTAAACACACAGTGCACGGGCTAAACACACAGTGCACGGGCTAAACACACAGTGCACGGGCTAAACACACAGTGCACGGGCTAAACACACAGTGCACGGGCTAAACACACAGTGCACGGGCTAAACACACAGTGCACGGGCTAAACACACAGTGCACGGGCTAAACACACAGTGCACGGGCTAAACACACAGTGCACGGGCTAAACACACAGTGCACGGGCTAAACACACAGTGCACGGGATAAACACACAGTGCACGGGATAAACACACAGTGCACGGGCTAAACACACAGTGCACGGGCTAAACACACAGTGCACGGGCTAAACACACAGTGCACGGGCTAAACACACAGTGCACGGGCTAAACACACAGTACACGGGCTAAACACACAGTGCACGGGCTAAACACACAGTGCACGGGCTAAACACACAGTGCACGGGATAAAAACACAGTGCACGGGCTAAACACACAGTGCACGGGCTAAACACACAGTGCACGGGCTAAACACACAGTGCACGGGCTAAACACACAGTGCACGGGCTAAACACACAGTGCACGGGCTAAACACACAGTGCACGGGATAAACACACAGTGCACGGGCTAAACACACAGTGCACGGGCTAAACACACAGTGCACGGGATAAACACACAGTGCACGGGCTAAACACACAGTGCACGGGCTAAACACATAATGCACGGGCTAAACACACAGTGCACGGGCTAAACACACAGTGCACGGGCTAAACACACAGTGCACGGGCTAAACACACAGTGCACGGGCTAAACACACAGTGCACGGGCTAAACACACAGTGCACGGGCTAAACACACAGTGCACGGGATAAACACACAGTGCACGGGCTAAACACACAGTGCACGGGTTAAACACACAGTGCACGGGATAAACACACAGTGCACGGGCTAAACACACAGTGCACGGGCTAAACACACAGTGCACGGGCTAAACACACAGTGCACGGGCTAAACACACAGTGCACGGGCTAAACACACAGTGCACGGGCTAAACACACAGTGCACGGGCTAAACACACAGTGCACGGGATAAACACACAGTGCACGGGATAAACACACAGTGCACGGGATAAACACTCAGTGCACGGGATAAACACACAGTGCACGGGATAAACACACAGTGCACGGGATAAACACACAGTGCACGGGCTAAACACTCAGTGCACGGGATAAACACACAGTGCACGGGATAAACACACAGTGCACGGGATAAACACACAGTGCACGGGCTAAACACACAGTGCACGGGATAAACACACAGTGCACGGGATAAACACACAGTGCACGGGATAAACACACAGTGCACGGGATAAACACACAGTGCACGGGATAAACACACAGTGCACGGGATAAACACACAGTGCACGGGATAAACACACAGTGCACGGGATAAACACACAGTGCACGGGATAAACACACAGTGCACGGGATAAACACACAGTGCACGGGATAAACACACAGGTGCAGCGGGTAAACACAGTGCACGGATAAACACTCAGTGCACGGGATAAACAGTCAGTGCACGGGATAAACACACAGTGCACGGGATAAACACACAGTGCACGGGATAAACACACAGTGCACGGGATAAACACACAGTGCACGGGATAAACACTCAGTGCACGGGATAAACACTCAGTGCACGGGATAAACACTCAGTGCACGGGATAAACACACAGTGCACGGGATAAACACTCAGTGCACGGGATAAACACTCAGTGCACGGGATAAACACTCAGTGCACGGGATAAACACTCAGTGCACGGGATAAACACTCAGTGCACGGGATAAACACTCAGTGCACGGGATAAACACTCAGTCCACGGGATAAACACACAGTGCACGGGATAAACACTCAGTGCACGGGATAAACACTCAGTGCACGGGATAAACACTCAGTGCACGGGATAAACACTCAGTACACGGGATAAACACTCAGTGCACGGGATAAACACTCAGTGCACGGGCTAAACACACAGTGCACGGGATAAACACTCAGTGCACGGGCTAAACACACAGTGCACGGGATAAACACTCAGTGCACGGGATAAACACTCAGTGCACGGGATAAACACTCAGTGCACGGGATAAACACACAGTGCACGGGCTAAACACACAGTGCACGGGATAAACACTCAGTGCACGGGATAAACACTCAGTGCACGGGATAAACACACAGTGCACGGGATAAACACTCAGTGCACGGGATAAACACACAGTGCACGGGCTAAACACACAGTGCACGGGATAAACACACAGTGCACGGGCTAAACACACAGTGCACGGGCTAAACACACAGTGCACGGGCTAAACACACAGTGCACGGGCTAAACACACAGTGCACGGGCTAAACACACAGTGCACGGGCTAAACACACAGTGCACGGGCTAAACACACAGTGCACGGGCTAAACACACAGTGCACGGGCTAAACACACAGTGCACGGGCTAAACACACAGTGCACGGGCTAAACACACAGTGCACGGGCTAAACACACAGTGCACGGGCTAAACACACAGTGCACGGGCTAAACAGACAGTGCACGGGATAAACACACAGTGCACGGGATAAACACACAGTGCACGGGCTAAACACACAGTGCACGGGCTAAACACACAGTGCACGGGCTAAACACACAGTGCACGGGCTAAACACACAGTGCACGGGCTAAACACACAGTGCACGGGCTAAACACACAGTGCACGGGCTAAACACACAGTGCACGGGCTAAACACACAGTGCACGGGATAAACACACAGTGCACGGGCTAAACACACAGTGCACGGGCTAAACACACAGTGCACGGGCTAAACACACAGTGCACGGGCTAAACACACAGTGCACGGGCTAAACACACAGTGCACGGGCTAAACAGACAGTGCACGGGATAAACACACAGTGCACGGGCTAAACACACAGTGCACGGGCTAAACACACAGTGCACGGGATAAACACACAGTGCACGGGCTAAACACACAGTGCACGGGCTAAACACATAGTGCACGGGCTAAACACACAGTGCACGGGCTAAACACACAGTGCACGGGCTAAACACACAGTGCACGGGCTAAACACACAGTGCACGGGCTAAACACACAGTGCACGGGCTAAACACACAGTGCACGGGCTAAACACACAGTGCACGGGATAAACACACAGTGCACGGGCTAAACACACAGTGCACGGGTTAAACACACAGTGCACGGGATAAACACACAGTGCACGGGCTAAACACACAGTGCACGGGCTAAACACACAGTGCACGGGCTAAACACACAGTGCACGGGCTAAACACACAGTGCACGGGCTAAACACACAGTGCACGGGCTAAACACACAGTGCACGGGCTAAACACACAGTGCACGGGCTAAACACACAGTGCACGGGATAAACACACAGTGCACGGGATAAACACACAGTGCACGGGCTAAACACACAGTGCACGGGATAAACACACAGTGCACGGGCTAAACACACAGTGCACGGGCTAAACACACAGTGCACGGGCTAAACACACAGTGCACGGGCTAAACACACAGTGCACGGGATAAACACACAGTGCACGGGATAAACACACAGTGCACGGGCTAAACACACAGTGCACGGGATAAACACACAGTGCACGGGCTAAACACACAGTGCACGGGCTAAACACACAGTGCACGGGCTAAACACACAGTGCACGGGCTAAACACACAGTGCACGGGCTAAACACACAGTGCACGGGCTAAACACACAGTGCACGGGATAAACACACAGTGCACGGGCTAAACACACAGTGCACGGGCTAAACACACAGTGCACGGGCTAAACACACAGTGCACGGGCTAAACACACAGTGCACGGGCTAAACACACAGTGCACGGGCTAAACACACAGTGCACGGGCTAAACACACAGTGCACGGGCTAAACACACAGTGCACGGGCTAAACACACAGTGCACGGGCTAAACACACAGTGCACGGGCTAAACACACAGTGCACGGGCTAAACACACAGTGCACGGGCTAAACACACAGTGCACGGGCTAAACACACAGTGCACGGGCTAAACACACAGTGCACGGGCTAAACACACAGTGCACGGGCTAAACACACAGTGCACGGGCTAAACACACAGTGCACGGGCTAAACACACAGTGCACGGGCTAAACACACAGTGCACGGGCTAAACACACAGTGCACGGGCTAAACACACAGTGCACGGGCTAAACACACAGTGCACGGGCTAAACACACAGTGCACGGGCTAAACACACAGTGCACGGGCTAAACACACAGTGCACGGGCTAAACACACAGTGCACGGGCTAAACACACAGTGCACGGGCTAAACACACAGTGCACGGGCTAAACACACAGTGCACGGGCTAAACACACAGTGCACGGGATAAACACACAGTGCACGGGCTAAACACACAGTGCACGGGCTAAACACACAGTGCACGGGCTAAACACACAGTGCACAGGCTAAACACACAGTGCACGGGCTAAACACACAGTGCACGGGCTAAACACACAGTGCACGGGCTAAACACACAGTGCACGGGCTAAACACACAGTGCACGGGCTAAACACACAGTGCACGGGCTAAACACACAGTGCACAGCAGGGCTGACAGAGAGTGCACGGCACAGTGAGTAAGGTGAGGGGGGCAGACGAAAGGAGAACGGGAGAATGGGGTAGGTAGGTTTCGGTTGCCCATCCCGAGGTCACACCCCCTTGTATCCCCCCTGCCATGCTGCCATGCTGCTATGCCGCTTCCCCCCCACCACCTCACCTCGACCTCGTTCTTGAGCAGCAGAGACAGCTCCGTCATGGTGCTGTTGCCGGGGTAGAACCGGGCCGTCGCCTCCGCCCTGCTGCGCGCCCTGCACAAGTCACAAGGGCAGGGGAGGAGTGGGTGGAAAAGATGTGATGTGGCGCTTGGGATGATGAAGAGCGTGGGGGGAGGCAAGGATTATTTATATAAACCCATGGGAGGGGCCGAGGGTTTAAGAGAAAAGTAGGTGCGGCCCGAGCCACACTGGCTTCTTTGCGTTGAACCTCGAAACAAGACGAACCGGTTCGGTTCAATGCGCTTTGTCTGGATAAGAAGAACCGAACCAAACAGTTCCGAGTGATATCTTGTCGGTTCGAGTCCAACCGTTTTGACAAAAAGGTTCTATGCTCGTGACTATACAGCACCCACCGGTTGAGCAGGTTGGCGATGACGTGGCGGTCATCAGCGGGGTGGGTGCGAGCCACGGAGCGGTAGTCGTCTCGTGAGATGGAGAGCACCCGACACACCGACAGCGTGCGCACTGTCCACAGCTCCGTGAGGTCGCACAGGAAGGCGATCTCTGGTGAATCCAGAGGGGGTTGAATGGGGGTAGGGGCAGCACATGTGGCTTTAGCATCGGGGGTAGGTAGCAAAGAGAACAGACTGTGTGTGCACCGTCCACAGCTCCGTGAGTTGCACAGAAAGGCGATCTCTGGCAGATCCACTGAGGAGGGGTGGTGGATGGGGTGTGGGGGTACGCCAGCATGTGAAGCGTTAGCGTGTGCACCGCCCAGAGCTCCATGTGGTCGCACAGGAAGGCGGTCTCTGGCAGAACCAGTGGGGGCCATAGGGGCGGACCGGGGAGGAGGGACAGCAGGACGTGAGTGAGGCTATAGACGGGATCGGTCGTGGTGCCCAACCAGGCAGTGTGCGCACCGTCCACAGTTGTCAGAATCGCACACAAAGGCTGGCAGTGCCAGGGGATTAAAGAGGGACAGGAGCAGAGACAGGCATTTTCTGAGTCAGGTGGGGAGGAGGAGCCGAGGAGGGGCGACGGAGCGTAAGGGGAGCCCGAGAGTGAGTCTTGAGTCGATCAGATCAGAACAAACGTGAGGTGCACATATTTGTCAGACTGCACAGGAAAGCAATTTCTCAAGCAGGTGGGAAAGAAAGACGGTGCGGAATAGGGGGAGCAGCACGTGACGATCCGATTGGCCTTGATACTACCCACCACCACAGCTACCTACCACCTTCGCCTCCACTCATTGCTTTCTGCACACTTCCCTTGCTCTCTGCACACCTCCCCACGCACACCGCACACCTCCTTGCTCACTACTGGTAAGCATGCAGTAAGCAGCTCACCTCCCACGCAGTCCCCTTCATGCAGCACGAACCACTGCATCTCATTGCCGTCCTTGTCACGCACTAGCACCTGAAGAAGGGAGTGAAACAACAGAAAATCAGGAGAACATAGTGAGCTTGCATGTAGTTTAGCGTAGCGTAGGGTGGGAGGGACAGTTGGAGCAGCGAAAAACGAGCCACTGCATCTCGGTGCCATCCTTGTCACGTACCAGCACCTGAGAGCGGGAGAGTGAGATTGGGTGAGAGAGGGTGACCAACAGAGCATCAAATGCGCACTATAGGAGGAGTTTCCGACCCTCCACACTCCTGCCGCCTTACTCCACACCCCTGCATAGGGATGAGCAAAGGACGAACACGAACATGTTCGTGTTCGCCCCTTCACGAACACGGCCTTTTGCCGAACCGAACAGTGTTCGGTTCGGCGAACAGTTTTGGCGAAAGCTGGTGTTCGCCGTTCGCCTGTGGAGGCGAACGACTTGCTCCCACGGGCGAACACGAACATGTTCGAGGCGAACACGTTCGTGTTCACCCAAGGGGGAATTTCACTATAGTCACACAGGGCCGACAAGGTATTTGACCCTGCAGGATGATAGGTATGGGGGTTTAGGGTGTTTATGTGTTTATGCAATGTCACAACAGCTATTACATCATGTTCTGTTTAACAAAATCAGGTCAAATTCCTACGCCATGGTCCCACTACTACCAACAACATCATCCCCGCCACCAGCTGCGGCTGCCTCCTCCTCCTCCTCCTCCTCCTCCTCCTCCTCCTCCTCCTCCTCCTCCTCCTCCTCCTCCTCCTCCTCCTCCTCCTCCTCCTCCTCCTCCTCCTCCTCCGCCTCCGCCTCCGCCTCCTCCTCCTCCTCCTCCTCCTCCTCCTCCTCCTCCTCCTCCTCCTCCTCCTCCTCCTCCTCCTCCTCCTCCTCCTCCTCCTCCTCCCACGTCCCCTCGCCCTCAATGACGAACTCTGGTACTGCGACTCCTCTCGGTCGGCGGCCCTCGTCGAGTGCCACGAAAAGAACGGTCCTAATGGACCTAGATCCGAAACCACAGAGAAAAGGCCGCACCTTCTACTAGAGCATGGACCGCTCCAAGCCCAAAACTCTAGCTAACAACCATACAGTTGAAGAAATTGAAGGAAACTACGTACTAGTTTTAGGAAATGTCCGTGTAAAACTCTAAGATGGTGTGTGGTGGCTCTTAAAGCGGTAAGGGTAAGGCGGTTGTGGGAGGTAAGAGCCTGGCGCTAATGGCGTTTTGAGTTTTAGCTAAAAAAATGAGCTCAAACTCAAAACGGTTGCGACCTAAATTTGGTTGCGGCCAAAATCGTCGACGAACATCATCGAACACGAACCTGTTCGTGTTCAACGCGCCTCTGCCAAATGAGCTTGGCGAACGGCGAACATGTTCGGGCGAACACCGAACACGTTCGCCTCGAACAATTTAGGTGGAAAAAAAAGCATGTTCGGTTCGCCTCGAACTTCGTGTTCTTGCTCATCCCTACCCCTGCATGAGCTGTGAAGCACCCACCTGCACCTGCCCAGAAGCAATAATGAGTTGACCACACCTCGGTGTGCCGAGTGCCCACACCGCACCAGACCACTGCCTGCGCCATGAAGCACGCACCTGCGCCATGAAGCACGCACCTGCGCCATGAAGCACGCACCTGCGCCTGCCCCGAGGCAATGATGAGCAGCTCCGTGGTGCTGTTGCCGGCTGCCACCAGGTCCACGTGTGGCAGGAAGAAATCCACATTGGCACGCGTTGTCACTTGGTCCTGCACGCACATATGCGCGCACGCGCGCACACACACAAACACATGCGCGCGCACGCACGCACACACACACACACACACACACACAAACACATGGGGATGGATTGGTGGGTGGATGGGGGGATGAGAAGGGATTTAAGAGTGGTTGTGAGTAAGGGAGTATGCCATGAGTTGGAGACAAGCAGCATTGGTGCAAACACATGCGTGTGGAATACAGGAGACAAGGGCGATACATGTCAAACGGTATAGGGAGACAGGGTGAGTCATATGGGAGGGGTCGCATGGGATGTGACGCATGGGAGGGGGCGTGTGGGAGCAGGCGAATAGGCGGAGGCGCGTGGGCATAGTACTGCGGAGACTCACGCGGAAGACGTTGGAGGTGCCGGCGAAGAGGTAGGAGGAGTTGACGAAGCGTGAGTACACGTGGCGCTTCACCAGCGTGCGCACGGATGATGGGCAGTGCAACAACACATCGTCCCTCACCTGCTTGAATGCATGCACACATGCACACATGCATGCACGCATGCACAAATGCATGCACACATGCACCATGCATGCACACATGCACACATGCACACATGCATGCACACATGCACACATGCACACACGCATGCACACATGCACACACGCATGCACACATGCACACATGCATGCACACATGCACCATGCATGCACACATGCACACATGTATGCACACCTGCACACATGCATGCACACCTGCACACATGCACACATGCACACATGCACACACGCATGCACGCATGCACCACGCATGCACACATGCACACATGCATGCATGCATGCACACATGCACACATGCATGCACGCATGCACACATGCACACACGCATGTACAAGTGCACACACGCATGCACACATGCACCATGCATGCACACATGCACACATGCACACATGCACACACGCATGCACACATGCACACACGCATGCACACATGCACACATGCATGCACACATGCATGCACACATGCATGCACACATGCACCATGCATGCACACATGCACACATGTATGCACACCTGCACACATGCATGCACACCTGCACACATGCACACATGCACACATGCACACACGCATGCACGCATGCACCACGCATGCACACATGCACACATGCATGCATGCATGCACACATGCACACATGCATGCACGCATGCACACATGCACACACGCATGTACAAGTGCACACACGCATGCACACATGCACCATGCATGCACACATGCACACATGCATGCACACATGCACACATGCATGCACACATGCACACACGCATGCACACATCACACACGCATGCACACATGCACACATGCACACACGCACACATGCATGCACGCATGCACGCATGCACACATGCACCCATGCACACACGCATGCACACATGCACACACGCATGCACACATGAACACATGTACACATTGCACACAGGCGCATATGCGCATGCCGACATGGATGCACACACACAACGGGAAGATGGGCAGTAAGGTTCGAGTCCATACCATCCCGCTAGCCTCTGCACCCACCCTAGACATGAGCAGGATCTCGAACACCTGTTCGGTTCGCCTCGAACATTTTTGGAAAAAAATAGTTCGAGGCGAACATGTTCGGTGTTCGCCCGAACATGTTCGCCGTTCGCCACCTCCATTTGGTGGAGTGTGGACGAACACGAACATGTTCGTGTTCGTCCAGTGGATGACGCGAACACTAAAGTGTTCGCGTCAAATTTGGCCGCGACCAAATTTAGGTCGCGGCCAAGTTGAGTTTGAGCTCATTTTTTGAGCTCAAACTCAACACATCTTTGTTGGTTAGCCCTCCCTCCCTCACCCACCATAGGCTTCATCCCTAAGAGCCACCACACACCGTTCCCTAATTATTACACGAACATTTCAACTAAGTAGTTCGTAGTAGTGAAGGGTAATTTCAGAAATCGCGAGGGGTTAGTTCGTAGTAGCTACAGGATCAATTTCGTAGAGGCTAATTCCCTAGTTGTAGGGGCGGCATTTCTCCGTGCCACACGTAACTAGGAGTTCAATTAGGACCGTGCTATCCGTGGCTTGCGACCGTTCCTTTGGGGTTTTAGGGTTTTAAGGCCGAGGGCTGATTTATGGCTTCCAGCCAACATGGATCTGTAGAACGAGGTGCACGCAGCGCTCAGGGCGGTACACCAGGTTCTCCACCACGACCTATGCAGGGGCGAGTAGGGGATGGACCTGCAGGAGCCGGCGCTTGTTTCGTCGGGGGGTTTCTTTCCGTAGCGGCGCCGACGTCCCGTCACTCGTTCCGTTACTCAGGCCCGCGACCCCCTCCTTCTGGGCAGACGCAGCCGGAGAGTGGCAGTGGGGAGGAGGATGAGGAGGAGGAGGGTGAGGGCGAGGAGGATGAGGACGATGAGGGGAGCGGGGATGACAGTGAGGCCGGGTGGGATCCCGAGACGCATGGCGGTGGGAAAGGGGGGGATGATGAGGAGGACCATGAGATGGATGGGTTGGAGCCAGAGGAGGTGGAGGAGGGGGTGGGAGAGGGTGGTGAAGGGGCGGCGACAGAGGCGGCCTCACAGCATGTGGCTGAAGGAGGAGGGAGCGTGGGGGTTAAGGTGGGGAGAAAGCGGGCATCCATTAGGATGCCGAAGCGGAGGAAGAGGGCGAGCAAGTTGAGGGAGCGAGCATATCCCTGCACATTCACTGGGAAGCCCTTGGGCGCGGGTGTGGTCGCTCCGGAGTTCCTAGACGAGGACGGAGGGTCCGAGAGTAGTAAGGGGACTGGCAAGGGTAATAAAAAACCGGGGTGGCAAGTACAGATGTTCGGGCCTAAAGGGGCAGACGAGAAGCGTCAGTGCAAGATTTGCACTGACAGGATTTCGTGGAAGCAATCCACAACAACACCCGGCGAGCGGCACTTCGAGAGCTACCACACAGCGCACATGCACGTGTGGCATCACCGTTACCACACTCCGTCCGTTCACTTGCTTGGGGAGACGTTTCCTCGTGGGGGCTACAAGGGTGTGCCGGATGGCTACGTCGATGGGTGGCCGCATGCCAAGTCTTGGCCGCATCTCGCAAAGAAGAAAGGGACGGCGTCCGGTGGAGCTGAGGGGTCAGGTGGGATGGAGCGGTTCATGACAACCAAGCTGTCCACGGAGGAGCTACGGCAGGCGATCGCCAAGCTGGTGGTCACCTGCGACCTCCCCTTCCGCATCGTCGAGTCCGAGGCCGTGATTGTCCCACGCCTGGTGTTTTGGCAGTATGTGGTTGACTATTTCATACTTCTATTGTAATCCACCATTCACATGTCCACCATTCACATGTCCACCATTCACTCACATGTCCACCACTCACATGTCCACCATTCACATGTCCACCATTCACATGTCCATCATTCACATGTCCACCATTCACATGTCCACCATTCACATATCCACCATTCACATGTCCACCATTCGGATATCCACCATTCACAGTTGTCTCTACTCTACCCTCCTCCAGTTTCGGGAGCTATTGATCGTGCTAGACCGCAACTGCGCACAGAAGAACTTCATCCCCTCGCGGTGGACGGTATCCCGCGACACTGTGGTTTATGCAACAGCAGCTCTCCAGTCCGCCATTGCGGAGATGCTGGCGAAGGAGGGGGAGTTGGGGTGCAAGGTGTCGATCACCATCGACATGTGGACGGCACCCAACAACAAGGCATGGCTAGTGGTGACAGGTCACTGGATAGACGATAACTTCCAGCTGCGCACAATGGTGCTTGGGTTCCGTGAGATGCTCGGGCGGCATGGGGGCAGGGAGATGGCGCAGGTGGTTGAGGAGACGATTGTGCAGTGGGGTTTGGAGGGGCGTTGTCTTGATTTCACGACAGACAACGCCTCTAGCAACATTGCCGCCTTCAGGCGGATGTCGGAGGAGGGTGGTGGTCAGTGCTTCTTCAGCTCGCGCATGCACTTCCGGTGAGTGTGGGAGTGTGCGTGGGTTGGGCGTGCGGGAGTGCGGGCGTGTGTTTGCCTTTGTGGGCGTGTGTTTGCCTTTGTTGGTTTTGTGGCTCGCTCTAACCATGTGTCCTCCAACTTCCCCTTATCTCTTTCTCTAATGTTTTGTTCCGTGCGCAGGTGCTTGGCACACGTGATCAACCTTGCAGTGCAGGCAGCACTGGCTGTGGATTCCATACGGAAGTTGCTGAAGATACTGAGAGAGATGGCGTCGTGGATTGGCTTCTCTCCACAGCGCTCGGGGTCTTTCTTGGGCCTACAGCGGACCTTGAACTCGCAGGCCAACCCCGCCACGCCGAAGCCGGCGTTGAAGCTGGTGCAGGACAGTCCTACGCGCTGGGGGTCGACCCACGACATGGTCGAGCGTGCGGGTGTTCTGCAGAACCCCATCACTGTCTTCTTCGCCCAGACACAGGTAACACTTGTGTTTTGTGTGGGTTGTAGTGTGTGGTTATGTCATGGTGTGGTGTGTTAGCACGTCTACACAATACTGTTGGTCATGCTTGTATGTTGCCGGCCGGATGCCATAATCCTCCTCCATAATCACAGTTTCCCTCATACCTCCCCCCAAACCATTCCCTCTACCCGACAGGGCTTGTCGAAGACCGACAAGAAGAAGGTGGAGAGTTTGCGCCTGACAGACGCAGACTGGGAGACCCTGCAGGCGGTGAAGACATTCCTAAGCCCCTTCGCCAAGGTCTCCAAGGCAGCAGAGGGGGCGGCGTACCCGACTGTGTCGATGGTGGTGCCGTACTACAACGGCCTGATCGACGCCATGGAGTCGCGCCTTGCCAAGGGGCCATCTCCGACGCTGCAGCCGATGATCGTGGCGGCGCTGAGCCACTTGAAGAAGTACGCGTACATCACCAGCAACGAGTACTGGATCGCCACCTTCTTGGACCCATCCATGAAGGCGGCGTGGTTCGACGAAGCGCACTGGGAGAAGCTGCATCCCGAGACTGACAGGAGGGTGAGGCCGCGTCCGGCGTCGGGCGAGGTGATCAAGCTGGTGCGCGACCGCGTGGCCGAGTACCAGGCCCGGGCTGCACAGCTTGCTCCACGGCCGACCCCACTTGCCCCCGTTGCGGAGGAGGAGTACGGAGACGAGGAGGAGGACGACGATGACGCGCAGTTTCTTCCTAGTCGCCGACGACTTGAGGCGCGTCTGTCGGCGAGCCAGGAGGCGGGGGCGGGTGGGATGGTGCAGGATGACGAGGTTAGCAGGTACTTGTCCGAGAGGGTGCGGTGCGACGTGACAGCGCTAGAGTACTGGCGCAGTGCCACCAACATGCAGACGCTGAGGCGCATGGCCCGGGATTATCTCGCCATCCCTGCCACGTCCGCTTCGAGTGAGGGGGTGTTCTCCCTTGGTCGCAACCTCATTTCCTGGAAGCGGCACCGCCTGGCCTCTCAGAGGACGCGAGCTGTCATGATTCTCAGATCATGGTACAGTTCACACCCTGGCCAGAGGATTGGCGAGGGCCGCCGACCGAGAGGCGTCGCACCACCAGAGTTCGCCATTGAGGGCGAGGGGGCAGAGGAGGATGACGAGGAGGAGGAGGAGGAGGGTGTGGAGGCTGACGACACAGCTGCAGCAGAGGATGTTGTTGTTGGTAGTAGCAGTGGCGCCTTAGTGTAGGAATTTGTTAGACTTTGACATCTCCCTTCACAGTATGTTATGTTGTACTATTGGGTTCGTTGTATGCACACATATACACCTTGCACACATTTTGCTATCATCCTGGACCTTGAAAACTGTTTTCTGACATGTGTGACTATAGTGAATTTTCCCCTGGGCAAAAAAATCGTTCGCCACCTAGGGCGAACGGCGAACATATATTTTCAGCTAAATAGTTCGCCGAACCGAACAGTGTTCGGTTCGGCAAAAGTACATGTTCGAGGGTGGGCGAACTCGAACATGTTCGAGTTCGCCCTTTGCTCATGCCTAACCCACCCCCACAAAAAACCCTCTCGAATTCCTCGCTATGCCCTCCCTCTCACCTCTGCAGTGTCGAAGTGCAGCTTGAGGTGCGCCTGCACCTGCTCCTGCAGTGACGACGGCACCACATGTGCGCGCATGTACCTGGGGGGATGAGGCATGCACAAGGATCAAACGGTTAATTCAAGGAGAGCTGGGATCAAGAAGTGGGATGGGATGGATAGTAGCCCAAAAGCCAACAATTTTGGGCCTATTGGTCAATCAGTCATGCTGCCTAACTCAGCTTTGGTTGAGCCCATCCTTTCCCACTTATGTGTGTCTGCCTTTCACTTGCATTTCTCTCAACAAGCACACATACCCGCACACACACATTACGCCTCCTCATCTCCTCCCCACACGAACAGCACGCATGGCCCACCTGTTGATGGCGGCAAGGCGGTCGCGGTAGGTGGCGGTGTGGGCGTCGGCCTTGGTGAGCAGCACGGTCATGTTGCCCAGCACGTACGCCGTGAGACCCAGGTTCACCAGCATGAACAGCGCCGCCCAGATGCGCTCCGGTACTGTGAAGGCTGACAGGTCGCCGTAGCCTGCAGTGGGGGGTGGTGGGTTGAGTAGATGCTCTGAACGGGTGAATGCACTGAGGGGGAAAATGCACTAAGGGCGTGATTGTGCAAAGAGAGAGAATGCATTAAGGAGCGCTAAGGGAATGCTTACATTAAGGGAGTGAATGCACTGAGCAACTGGGATTGGGAGTCCTGTTGACAGGCAGGGTAGGCTGAAGTGCGGGGCTCATGAATTGAGAAGTGAGGAAGAGCGAATTTATGGACGAATGGAAGGCTCACATGCGCTCTAGTGCACTCACATGCGCTCTAGTGCACTCACATGCGCTCTAGTGCACTCACATGCGCTCTAGTGCACTCACATGCGCTCTAGTGCACTCACATGCGCTCTAGTGCACTCACATGCGCTCTAGTGCACTCACATGCGCTCTAGTGCACTCACATGCGCTCTAGTGCACTCACATGCGCTCTAGTGCACTCACATGCGCTCTAGTGCACTCACATGCGCTCTAGTGCACTCACATGCGCTCTAGTGCACTCACATGCGCTCTAGTGCACTCACATGCGCTCTAGTGCACTCACATGCGCTCTAGTGCACTCACATGCGCTCTAGTGCACTCACATGCGCTCTAGTGCACTCACATGCGCTCTAGTGCACTCACATGCGCTCTAGTGCACTCACATGCGCTCTAGTGCACTCACATGCGCTCTAGTGCACTCACATGCGCTCTAGTGCACTCACATGCGCTCTAGTGCACTCACATGCGCTCTAGTGCACTCACATGCGCTCTAGTGCACTCACATGCGCTCTAGTGCACTCACATGCGCTCTAGTGCACTCACATGCGCTCTAGTGCACTCACATGCGCTCTAGTGCACTCACATGCGCTCTAGTGCACTCACATGCGCTCTAGTGCACTCACATGCGCTCTAGTGCACTCACATGCGCTCTAGTGCACTCACATGCGCTCTAGTGCACTCACATGCGCTCTAGTGCACTCACATGCGCTCTAGTGCACTCACATGCGCTCTAGTGCACTCACATGCGCTCTAGTGCACTCACATGCGCTCTAGTGCACTCACATGCGCTCTAGTGCACTCACATGCGCTCTAGTGCACTCACATGCGCTCTAGTGCACTCACATGCGCTCTAGTGCACTCACATGCGCTCTAGTGCACTCACATGCGCTCTAGTGCACTCACATGCGCTCTAGTGCACTCACATGCGCTCTAGTGCACTCACATGCGCTCTAGTGCACTCACATGCGCTCTAGTGCACTCACGTGCGCTCTAGTGCACTCACGTGCGCTCTAGTGCACTCACGTGCGCTCTAGTGCACTCACATGCGCTCTAGTGCACTCACATGCGCTCTAGTGCACTCACATGCGCTCTAGTGCACTCACATGCGCTCTAGTGCACTCACATGCGCTCTAGTGCACTCACATGCGCTCTAGTGCACTCACATGCGCTCTAGTGCACTCACATGCGCTCTAGTGCACTCACATGCGCTCTAGTGCACTCACATGCGCTCTAGTGCACTCACATGCGCTCTAGTGCACTCACATGCGCTCTAGTGCACTCACATGCGCTCTAGTGCACTCACATGCGCTCTAGTGCACTCACTGCGCTCTAGTGCACTCACATGCGCTCTAGTGCACTCACATGCGCTCTAGTGCACTCACATGCGCTCTAGTGCACTCACATGCGCTCTAGTGCACTCACATGCGCTCTAGTGCACTCACATGCGCTCTAGTGCACTCACATGCGCTCTAGTGCACTCACATGCGCTCTAGTGCACTCACATGCGCTCTAGTGCACTCACATGCGCTCTAGTGCACTCACATGCGCTCTAGTGCACTCACATGCGCTCTAGTGCACTCACATGCGCTCTAGTGCACTCACATGCGCTCTAGTGCACTCACATGCGCTCTAGTGCACTCACATGCGCTCTAGTGCACTCACATGCGCTCTAGTGCACTCACATGCGCTCTAGTGCACTCACATGCGCTCTAGTGCACTCACATGCGCTCTAGTGCACTCACATGCGCTCTAGTGCACTCACATGCGCTCTAGTGCACTCACATGCGCTCTAGTGCACTCACATGCGCTCTAGTGCACTCACATGCGCTCTAGTGCACTCACATGCGCTCTAGTGCACTCACATGCGCTCTAGTGCACTCACATGCGCTCTAGTGCACTCACATGCGCTCTAGTGCACTCACATGCGCTCTAGTGCACTCACATGCGCTCTAGTGCACTCACATGCGCTCTAGTGCACTCACATGCGCTCTAGTGCACTCACATGCGCTCTAGTGCACTCACATGCGCTCTAGTGCACTCACATGCGCTCTAGTGCACTCACATGCGCTCTAGTGCACTCACATGCGCTCTAGTGCACTCACATGCGCTCTAGTGCACTCACATGCGCTCTAGTGCACTCACATGCGCTCTAGTGCACTCACATGCGCTCTAGTGCACTCACATGCGCTCTAGTGCACTCACATGCGCTCTAGTGCACTCACATGCGCTCTAGTGCACTCACATGCGCTCTAGTGCACTCACATGCGCTCTAGTGCACTCACATGCGCTCTAGTGCACTCACATGCGCTCTAGTGCACTCACATGCGCTCTAGTGCACTCACATGCGCTCTAGTGCACTCACATGCGCTCTAGTGCACTCACATGCGCTCTAGTGCACTCACATGCGCTCTAGTGCACTCACATGCGCTCTAGTGCACTCACATGCGCTCTAGTGCACTCACATGCGCTCTAGTGCACTCACATGCGCTCTAGTGCACTCACATGCGCTCTAGTGCACTCACATGCGCTCTAGTGCACTCACATGCGCTCTAGTGCACTCACATGCGCTCTAGTGCACTCACATGCGCTCTAGTGCACTCACATGCGCTCTAGTGCACTCACATGCGCTCTAGTGCACTCACATGCGCTCTAGTGCACTCACATGCGCTCTAGTGCACTCACATGCGCTCTAGTGCACTCACATGCGCTCTAGTGCACTCACATGCGCTCTAGTGCACTCACATGCGCTCTAGTGCACTCACATGCGCTCTAGTGCACTCACATGCGCTCTAGTGCACTCACATGCGCTCTAGTGCACTCACATGCGCTCTAGTGCACTCACATGCGCTCTAGTGCACTCACATGCGCTCTAGTGCACTCACATGCGCTCTAGTGCACTCACATGCGCTCTAGTGCACTCACATGCGCTCTAGTGCACTCACATGCGCTCTAGTGCACTCACATGCGCTCTAGTGCACTCACATGCGCTCTAGTGCACTCACATGCGCTCTAGTGCACTCACATGCGCTCTAGTGCACTCACATGCGCTCTAGTGCACTCACATGCGCTCTAGTGCACTCACATGCGCTCTAGTGCACTCACATGCGCTCTAGTGCACTCACATGCGCTCTAGTGCACTCACATGCGCTCTAGTGCACTCACATGCGCTCTAGTGCACTCACATGCGCTCTAGTGCACTCACATGCGCTCTAGTGCACTCACATGCGCTCTAGTGCACTCACATGCGCTCTAGTGCACTCACATGCGCTCTAGTGCACTCACATGCGCTCTAGTGCACTCACATGCGCTCTAGTGCACTCACATGCGCTCTAGTGCACTCACATGCGCTCTAGTGCACTCACATGCGCTCTAGTGCACTCACATGCGCTCTAGTGCACTCACATGCGCTCTAGTGCACTCACATGCGCTCTAGTGCACTCACATGCGCTCTAGTGCACTCACATGCGCTCTAGTGCACTCACATGCGCTCTAGTGCACTCACATGCGCTCTAGTGCACTCACATGCGCTCTAGTGCACTCACATGCGCTCTAGTGCACTCACATGCGCTCTAGTGCACTCACATGCGCTCTAGTGCACTCACATGCGCTCTAGTGCACTCACATGCGCTCTAGTGCACTCACATGCGCTCTAGTGCACTCACATGCGCTCTAGTGCACTCACATGCGCTCTAGTGCACTCACATGCGCTCTAGTGCCACTCACATGCGCTCTAGTGCACTCACATGCGCTCTAGTGCACTCACATGCGCTCTAGTGCACTCACATGCGCTCTAGTGCACTCACATGCGCTCTAGTGCACTCACATGCGCTCTAGTGCACTCACATGCGCTCTAGTGCACTCACATGCGCTCTAGTGCACTCACATGCGCTCTAGTGCACTCACATGCGCTCTAGTGCACTCACATGCGCTCTAGTGCACTCACATGCGCTCTAGTGCACTCACATGCGCTCTAGTGCACTCACATGCGCTCTAGTGCACTCACATGCGCTCTAGTGCACTCACATGCGCTCTAGTGCACTCACATGCGCTCTAGTGCACTCACATGCGCTCTAGTGCACTCACATGCGCTCTAGTGCACTCACATGCGCTCTAGTGCACTCACATGCGCTCTAGTGCACTCACATGCGCTCTAGTGCACTCACATGCGCTCTAGTGCACTCACATGCGCTCTAGTGCACTCACATGCGCTCTAGTGCACTCACATGCGCTCTAGTGCACTCACATGCGCTCTAGTGCACTCACATGCGCTCTAGTGCACTCACATGCGCTCTAGTGCACTCACATGCGCTCTAGTGCACTCACATGCGCTCTAGTGCACTCACATGCGCTCTAGTGCACTCACATGCGCTCTAGTGCACTCACATGCGCTCTAGTGCACTCACATGCGCTCTAGTGCACTCACATGCGCTCTAGTGCACTCACATGCGCTCTAGTGCACTCACATGCGCTCTAGTGCACTCACATGCGCTCTAGTGCACTCACATGCGCTCTAGTGCACTCACATGCGCTCTAGTGCACTCACATGCGCTCTAGTGCACTCACATGCGCTCTAGTGCACTCACATGCGCTCTAGTGCACTCACATGCGCTCTAGTGCACTCACATGCGCTCTAGTGCACTCACATGCGCTCTAGTGCACTCACATGCGCTCTAGTGCACTCACATGCGCTCTAGTGCACTCACATGCGCTCTAGTGCACTCACATGCGCTCTAGTGCACTCACATGCGCTCTAGTGCACTCACATGCGCTCTAGTGCACTCACATGCGCTCTAGTGCACTCACATGCGCTCTAGTGCACTCACATGCGCTCTAGTGCACTCACATGCGCTCTAGTGCACTCACATGCGCTCTAGTGCACTCACATGCGCTCTAGTGCACTCACATGCGCTCTAGTGCACTCACATGCGCTCTAGTGCACTCACATGCGCTCTAGTGCACTCACATGCGCTCTAGTGCACTCACATGCGCTCTAGTGCACTCACATGCGCTCTAGTGCACTCACATGCGCTCTAGTGCACTCACATGCGCTCTAGTGCACTCACATGCGCTCTAGTGCACTCACATGCGCTCTAGTGCACTCACATGCGCTCTAGTGCACTCACATGCGCTCTAGTGCACTCACATGCGCTCTAGTGCACTCACATGCGCTCTAGTGCACTCACATGCGCTCTAGTGCACTCACATGCGCTCTAGTGCACTCACATGCGCTCTAGTGCACTCACATGCGCTCTAGTGCACTCACATGCGCTCTAGTGCACTCACATGCGCTCTAGTGCACTCACATGCGCTCTAGTGCACTCACATGCGCTCTAGTGCACTCACATGCGCTCTAGTGCACTCACATGCGCTCTAGTGCACTCACATGCGCTCTAGTGCACTCACATGCGCTCTAGTGCACTCACATGCGCTCTAGTGCACTCACATGCGCTCTAGTGCACTCACATGCGCTCTAGTGCACTCACATGCGCTCTAGTGCACTCACATGCGCTCTAGTGCACTCACATGCGCTCTAGTGCACTCACATGCGCTCTAGTGCACTCACATGCGCTCTAGTGCACTCACATGCGCTCTAGTGCACTCACATGCGCTCTAGTGCACTCACATGCGCTCTAGTGCACTCACATGCGCTCTAGTGCACTCACATGCGCTCTAGTGCACTCACATGCGCTCTAGTGCACTCACATGCGCTCTAGTGCACTCACATGCGCTCTAGTGCACTCACATGCGCTCTAGTGCACTCACATGCGCTCTAGTGCACTCCACATGCGCTCTAGTGCACTCACATGCGCTCTAGTGCACTCACATGCGCTCTAGTGCACTCACATGCGCTCTAGTGCACTCACATGCGCTCTAGTGCACTCACATGCGCTCTAGTGCACTCACATGCGCTCTAGTGCACTCACATGCGCTCTAGTGCACTCACATGCGCTCTAGTGCACTCACATGCGCTCTAGTGCACTCACATGCGCTCTAGTGCACTCACATGCGCTCTAGTGCACTCACATGCGCTCTAGTGCACTCACATGCGCTCTAGTGCACTCACATGCGCTCTAGTGCACTCACATGCGCTCTAGTGCACTCACATGCGCTCTAGTGCACTCACATGCGCTCTAGTGCACTCACATGCGCTCTAGTGCACTCACATGCGCTCTAGTGCACTCACATGCGCTCTAGTGCACTCACATGCGCTCTAGTGCACTCACATGCGCTCTAGTGCACTCACATGCGCTCTAGTGCACTCACATGCGCTCTAGTGCACTCACATGCGCTCTAGTGCACTCACATGCGCTCTAGTGCACTCACATGCGCTCTAGTGCACTCACATGCGCTCTAGTGCACTCACATGCGCTCTAGTGCACTCACATGCGCTCTAGTGCACTCACATGCGCTCTAGTGCACTCACATGCGCTCTAGTGCACTCACATGCGCTCTAGTGCACTCACATGCGCTCTAGTGCACTCACATGCGCTCTAGTGCACTCACATGCGCTCTAGTGCACTCACATGCGCTCTAGTGCACTCACAGTGCGCTCTAGTGCACTCACATGCGCTCTAGTGCACTCACATGCGCTCTAGTGCACTCACATGCGCTCTAGTGCACTCACATGCGCTCTAGTGCACTCACATGCGCTCTAGTGCACTCACATGCGCTCTAGTGCACTCACATGCGCTCTAGTGCACTCACATGCGCTCTAGTGCACTCACATGCGCTCTAGTGCACTCACATGCGCTCTAGTGCACTCACATGCGCTCTAGTGCACTCACATGCGCTCTAGTGCACTCACATGCGCTCTAGTGCACTCACATGCGCTCTAGTGCACTCACATGCGCTCTAGTGCACTCACATGCGCTCTAGTGCACTCACATGCGCTCTAGTGCACTCACATGCGCTCTAGTGCACTCACATGCGCTCTAGTGCACTCACATGCGCTCTAGTGCACTCACATGCGCTCTAGTGCACTCACATGCGCTCTAGTGCACTCACATGCGCTCTAGTGCACTCACATGCGCTCTAGTGCACTCACATGCGCTCTAGTGCACTCACATGCGCTCTAGTGCACTCACATGCGCTCTAGTGCACTCACATGCGCTCTAGTGCACTCACATGCGCTCTAGTGCACTCACATGCGCTCTAGTGCACTCACATGCGCTCTAGTGCACTCACATGCGCTCTAGTGCACTCACATGCGCTCTAGTGCACTCACATGCGCTCTAGTGCACTCACATGCGCTCTAGTGCACTCACATGCGCTCTAGTGCACTCACATGCGCTCTAGTGCACTCACATGCGCTCTAGTGCACTCACATGCGCTCTAGTGCACTCACATGCGCTCTAGTGCACTCACATGCGCTCTAGTGCACTCACATGCGCTCTAGTGCACTCACATGCGCTCTAGTGCACTCACATGCGCTCTAGTGCACTCACATGCGCTCTAGTGCACTCACATGCGCTCTAGTGCACTCACATGCGCTCTAGTGCACTCACATGCGCCCTCATCCACGCTCTCATGCACCCACAAACAGTTATGGCGCAGGACCTGTGGTGGAGAGGGTGGTCATCGCCCTGCGGGACCAGCAGCACATGGCGCGAAGATAAGAAGCACCGAACCAAATTCGCCGTACGAAGCAAGAGCACGCATCCCATGTTGAGGCGATGATCGTCCCACGAGGACCAAGTTTATGGCGGAAGACAGGCACAGAGGCAATGAGAATGGCATTGACGATGATGCGAGTGCGTGGGAGGGGTGGGAGGGGTGGGAGGGGCAAAGGAGACACACACGGAAAGGCACGTTCCGTGAGCAGGTGCGTGCTCAGAAGGTGGATGGGAATGTGCAAGAAGTCTCTTTCCGTGGACAGGTGCGTGCAGGCAGAAAAAGACATGTCACATGATTGGTATACCGTGCCAAGTGCTGTTTCCGATCGTAGCATTCCATGCAGACGAGAAGACATGGATCACATAAGCTAAACCGTGGCAACCAAGTGATGCGAGGAGAAGAGAGAACCAAAGGGGCTATTGACAAGTCGTTGGGTTGGGATGCACAAGAGGCGCAACGGGTGCCTTCCTTCATTGGGTCGTTTCAGAAACTGGTCTGCTAAAATGCCAGGGCAGTAGGCGAATGCACATCGGAATCAAATACTGAGGGTGGGGTAAACCGGGGAACAGATAGCAGCGCACCAGTAGATGGATGTGACATAGGCGTCGAGCGGAGGCCTCAGAGGCAGGTCGGGCTCACAGTGCCCCACCCACTGGGATGGGGAAATCAGCAGCGGGAGGTGGAGGAGAACGAAGTTTGGGAGGGGGACGAGGATGCAATTAAGAGGGTGGTGAAGCGGGGGGAAGGAGAGAAGAGGAAAGAGAGAGATGGGGGGGGACGAGGGGGGGGGGGGGGGGGGGGGGGGAGGAGACGGATGACAAGGAATGAAGAGTGGTGGCAGGGGCATGGGAGCAGACAGCCCTGTTGGCAGCTCACCGTATCCTCACTGAAGTTGCACACAGGAAGGCCAGCACACAACCTGGTGGGCAAAGAGGCGTGACATACAGCCCACCATGCCTGGCAGCACAGTCACAATCAACCATGCAGCGTGATTGTGACTCCGGCACTCATGAAGACTTGGTTGAAAAACGGACAGAGAGGAGGGATGAGAAACAGAGGGCAGACAGAGGAGGGGTTTGGTCTTTCTTGTGAAGTGACTCCTGAGAATTTGACAACGCCTTTGACAAGTGGGCAAAGAAGAGGGGCAAGGAGTGGAGGGCGCAGGGAGAAGGGAACTGATTTGTTGAGTAGCGCGCCCTTCTGCCACTTCACAAGAAAGGCCAAACCCCTCCTCTGTCTGGCCTCGGTTTCTCATCCCTCCTCTGTGTCGGATTTCAACCGAGTCTTCATGAGTGCCGGAGTCACAATCACGCCACACAACATGCAGCCGCAGCTCACCGTGTCCTCGCTGAAGTTGCGCACGCGCGCGAGGAGGAAGAAGACACAGGCGGACCAGTGGGCGGCGAAGAGGATGAGGAGGGCGAACTTGTGCACACTGGTGGAGATGTAGTCGTACCGCACGTCCACTGCCATGTCCCACAGCACGTTCCAGCTGGGAAGGGGGGGAGGAGGGGGATGTGCCACACACACACACGTGGGTACGGAATGCAGTGAACCACGGATGTAGTCCTCACAGCGCACGTGCACCGCCATGTCCCACACCACGTTCCACCTGGGAGGCATGGACGCGGGGAAACGATCGGGTTGAGCAGCAGAGGGGGATTGAGAGGGGAAGTCAAAGCGCATAACCGCCATGGAGGAAGTTCTGCCTGCAAGGCAAGGCACGGAGAAGGCGGGAGCGATGGCAGAAAGTTAATCATGGAGAGAGAGGGGCGATGGATGGGGTTGAGCAGAGGGGAGCGATGGGATGAGATGAGGTGCATCACAGAGGACGTCAAAGCGCACCGCGACCAGAGGCAGCCCTCCCTGACAGGCAGACGGCCCTCACATGAAGGTGGCCCTCACAGGCAGGCGGCTCTCACAGGCCTCACAAGCAGGTGGCCCTCACAGGCGGCCCTCACTCACAGGCGGATGAGGCGCAGTAGTCGCAGCAGACCGAAGGCGGAGAGGGCGACAGCAGCGGTGCCGGTGGGTTGATACACGCCCTTGAGCACCAGATCCCATGGCAGCGCTGCTAGGATGTCGTACCAGAACATGCCCCGTAGGTACCTGAGGGAGAGAGGAAGAGAAGAGGCATGAGAGGAGAAGGGGGGGAAAAGGGTAAGGAACAATAAAGGGGTAATTATAAGGACGACATATGGATGGTCACACTCAGCAGTGGGAGCACGTACGTGTAATGTAAGTGGAACTCAAAACGAGGGTTTACATTTGTCCTTGCAACAGTGCTGACGTCAGCACTCGGGAAAGTGAGTTTGTGTAGGGCGAGACAAAAACGACGGGGAAGGTCTCTGGCGAAAAATGGTGCTGACGTCAGCACTCGGTTCAGAGTCTTCTTTTTTTAACCCACGAGGGACAAATGTGGACCCTCGTTTTAAGGAAAATGAGAAAGAGTACACATGCTTACTCTACGGCAATGCTGGCGAGGCTGGTCTTCCACTCGCCCATTCGGAACTCGGGCACAAAGAAGCTGAGCAGCACGTCGCTCAGAAACACCTGCTGGGCAAGAAGGGGCGAGAAGGGGCAAGGGGCGAGAAGGGGCAAGGGGGGCAAAGAGGAGGACGAAGGGGCGGGAAGGAGGTCGAGGGGGGGTGAGGAGGGGGGCGAAGAGGGGCGAGGTGGGCTGAGAGAGGGCGCTGGGTGGCAAAGGGGGGTGAGGAAAACTGAGGCAGAGACACAAAGGGAAGCACATGAAATGAGAGTGTGTGCCATCAAAACAAAGAGCAGCACGTTGCTCAGGACCTCAAGGAGAGGATGGAGCGAGGAGAGGTTGGGGAGGGGGCGATGAGAGGCAGAGACACAGAGGGCGAGGCAATGAGCGTGATCAGGCCGGAAAAAGAGGGAATCAGTGTGCACAAGAAGCGGAGAGGGGAAGTGATGGCTCAGGATAACTCTGCTGCCCTGATGATAAGGACTCCACTCCATGGCACGGCCCACCCCATCCCGCACTTAAACCCCGAATTAAGCACTCACGGCGTCGGTGCAATAGATAAACACATTGACTGGCGTGAACACATTCTCTGTATCGAGGAACGCGACGTTGAAGGGCTCAACGATGCCGATGAGGATGGCGAGCAGCAGCAGCGCCGCCTGGAACTGCTGGTACAGCGATGCCTGTGGGCTGATCACCCAGTCTGACAGATACACCGAATCTGGCCCGCCCTCGCCCCCCTCGCCCTCCCCTGCCGCCTCGCTTGATGGCGGCACCTCTGAGATGGCCTGAGGGCGGGATGGGATGCAGTGCGGTGGGGTGGGGTGTGGGTGGGATGGGTGGGGTAGTGTGGGGCGGGATGGGTGGGGTGGGGTGGGTTGGGGTGGGGTGGGGTGTGGATGGGATGGGATGGGATGGGATGGGATGGGATGGGATGGGATGGGATGGGATGGGATGGGATGGGATGGGATGGGATGGGAAAAGGGTCAGACACTGGGGAGTGCGGAACAAACAGCACAAATTTACAGCAAGCGGGCGCGTCCCAGCCCAAGCATTCCAACCCAAGCATCCCAGGCAGCTTCGACTACTGACCTCGAACATACTCCCGCTGTACATATCCCCCCGGTGAAAGCTACTCTCCGGCGTGACATTCAAGCTGTTACTCCCGCTGCCAAAGCTCCCCGCACTCCCGCCACTGTCGGCACGGGACAAACTGCGCCGGCCACTCCCAACGCTACCTGCCGCCCCAGGCGGCAGCAGGTGCTGTTGCGAGGCGAGGGAGTCGTCCGAGCCAGACCCTTTGCGGCGGCGGATGGACTCGAATCGCAGCATGCAGGCGGACTTGTGCAGAATGGCCCTCAGCTCGGGGGACTCAAGCGGTGCCAGTCGGGAATGCAGGGGCTGGTGGTGGAGAGGGGGGGGGGGGGGGGGGAGACGGAGGGGGGGCGAGGAGGTGAGGGGAGTTGGGGGATGCAGGGGAGGGGGAAGGAGAGAGTTGTGGTGGTTGCAGGGGGGCCTGCCAGCTTACAGGGGGAACGGAAGGAGATGAGACGGAGGGGAATCTGTGAGGCGGAGAGACGGTGGCACGAGCGTGCGGAGCGGATTATGAGGCGGGTGATGGCGAGGCGGGTGATGGCGAGGCGGGTGATGGCGAGGTGGGTGATGGCGAGGCGGGAGATGGTGGGATTCAGCAAGAAGGGTGTGACTTAGGGTTAGATGAATGAATGGGAGAAGTGGGGGAAGAGGGGCGAGGGGCAAGTAAAGTAGGCGAGCTTTGGATAGAAATCCATGTCGGGGCGGACCTCCACGCATCGTCCTTCAGTTCGTTCCACAGCAAACATCCGTTCCTCTTTATTCACCCGCCTCCCTCTGTCTCCAACTCCCATTCTGTTTCCCTCAATCTCTCCCCCTGTACCCCTTCCCTCAACCCCTCCCCCCCTCTTCCCCTCTCCATCCCCCTATACCCCTCTTCAAGGTTCAAAAATACGGTTTTCGTAAAAAACGGTCCGTTTTTTACGGTAATTTTCAAAAAAAAACGGCGTTTTTTGTTTGAGAACTGTTGTCACCAAGAAAAAAAGGGAAAAACAAGGTCGAATACATTTTCAATCATGCCCACAAGCGCACGCATGCAACTAGGGGTTCGTCCTCTTCATCCTGGTACCTTTCGCCATCAATTTGGTCCCAGAAATCGGCCGATTTCTTCTTCAAACGAAACCACCTTCTGGTACCCTTTTTACCGTTTTTTACGGGAAATTTTCAAAAAAGCGACGTTTTATTTAACCTTGTCCCTCTTCCCCTCGCCACCTCTCCCCCTCTCCGCTTGCCCCTCTCCCCACGCTCGTCGCTCCCCCACACCTGTCCCTCTCCCCACTGCTCAAAGGCAAGCTGCACGCACCTGTTCGAGCCCATCAGCGGGATCAGCGCTCATCCCTCTCTCCACTGCCCGCGCCATCGCCCACGGTGCGCTCCCCCTTTCCTCCACCTCCGCGCCTCTCCCCACAGCACCCCCTCCTGCTGGCCCCACGCCTGCCGCCCCCTCGCCGCGCATGTCAACGGTAAACGCGAATGCCTCGTGCCTGCTGTACGCCGCAACCGGCGCCGAGGTCGGCGCCGCAGCAGACGCCGCAACAGGCGCCGCGATTGGAGCCGCAAATGGCGAGGCGGACGGGCTTCGACAGTCCCTGTCTGTGGCTTCTGCATGAAAGGCCCAGTTCGATGCTGAAGTGGATTGCGGAGAACGTGCCATCTGGACAGGGGATACCGTCGCTCCCGACCCTGTCACTGGTGCTAATCCAACGGTTCCTGGTCCTTCAAACGCGGGAGGTGTAGGCAATCCTACGGCCACAGCTGACGATGATTCTACGGCCCAGGAGGGCCCGCTGCGATTGCTACCTGTCGATGCCGTTCCTCGAATGAAACCGGGAGCAATCAACGGCTGGTGCTCCTCCTCGCGTGGTTCCATCTGTCACGGCTTCCAGATGATACGTTACGAGTTGCAAATGATCGCTCACGACAAGCGCGGAGGAACTGTACCGGCAATGAGCTCAAGTCAATCTGTTACGGAGTACAGATTGAGTTGTCACGACTCAAGGCGATCCGAGAACCTCTGCAGGTAATGGGTATACGAGCAGAGTGTTGCGCTACTAAGGACAGTCAAACGCCGGCAACCCTAACTCGCTAAAGCGTTCTCGTTACGGAAGAGACAGCGCGCACACGCTAGTTCCACCTGGCTGCCGCCTGCTTATCGTCCCCATTCCTTGCTCGCCCGTTTTACACGCCGTAAGTCACGGTGATCGGCTGTGCAGGCGAGACAACTCATGCCACAAGGTATTTGATGTTGCATAGAGTCCAATCGATGTCATTTGATTATAGAGGTGGAGAGCAGCTCGCTTACAAACACGCGCGGTTATGTTCGGTTTGAAAACATTCTACACGTTGCAATGAGGTTGACTCAGCATGACCTCCACTGACAACAGGCAACAGGAGGAAGCGGGGGAAGGGGAGAGATGGAGAGGCTCATTCGGTTCTTCCCCCCCTACAGGAGGTACACCTGCAGTGACGCGGCGCGGAAGCCTGGAGGGGTGTTAGTTCCTTTGGAGCAACGCGCGCCGTGAAACCACCATAGCAAGCAAACCAATCAGCAACCAAGGCCACGTAGGTCGATGGGTTCCCAACCATAGGACACGCTGCCAGGTCGAGGGTCTATTAGGCCTTGACGTGCCTCCCGCACTACTGCCGACTTGACCACCACCGGCGTTGATGCCCGCGTCGACGCCGCCCTCAGTGTTCACCGGTCGAGGAGAGACAGGCCAAGGAGGGTGCTCCGTTGCCCACACGGCACGGATGCTAGCCTCGACGACCGCCCAGGGCAGGTCGCCATACTCGTTCGCCTCGTGACGTCTCCTCGCGTTCTCCAGCCGTGCCTCCAGGGTGTCCACCACCCCCGTGTCAACTACGGCGCCTACCATAGTGAATACCGCACAGCTGTCGGCCTACGAACACAAATTAGGTAAGTGACCACTACGTCGACCTGACTGAAAGGTAAGTCGTGTGCCTTCCACGCTCACCGCACCATGCGGAGATAACTCTATCAACGAGAGCTAGAGTACGGGCTAGGCACGGGGTAGGAGGGATCTATGTGTTCGTTCACTTAGTTGTTCTTTAGCACTTGTGCGTTCACAGGGCAAAACCGCAAGAGTTTCACTAGCAAAAGTTGAGAACAATGAGACAATCAAGTTTGCAAGACAAGACTACATCAGAGCTAGCATGCAAGCAGGTCGACTGCCAGCGCAGCATGGTCGACCGCGTTCCAGCACGACTTGGTCGACCGCGCTCCAGCAGTACAAAGTTGCGGCTTGCCAACACTGCAAGTCCACGGCGTGCCAACGTTGCATCCGCAGAATAGCAGCGCACCTGCTCCGCGGATGCTCGCAGATGATTGGCGTGCCGTGCCTTGTCACATGCACAGCGCATTCACCAAATCAACCTGGCGCTGACGACTGCACCTGATCAGCCACGTCGACCTCGGGATACCACACCGAGGTCGGCCTCGCCACTAACACCTGGGCGACTGACGCGTGCCTCCGTAGAACTTTGTTGCCCAAGTAACTTGGTCGATCGGGCAACCATCTCATCGACCAACTTCTCCTTGTGCCCGTCGACCTCTCTAGTTGACGACCACCTTCAATCGACCACACCAGGTCGATTTCACTCCTGGTCGGCCGACTCCAGGTCAGCCAGCACACCTGTCAGCCGACCACCCACGTCGGCTTCCCCAGGTCGGCGTCGCCAAGTCAACGTCCGAAGTCGGCGCCTTTCAACCCGGCGACATGCTGCTCGACGTCCCCCCTGTCGAGGTCGACGTCGGCCCCTCCTCCGTGGACCACCAAGTCGACCACCCCAAAGTCGGCACCAAGAAGTCGGCACCAATGCAGTGGCCCCCGCGCAGGTCGACCACCCTCGTCGACCAGCTCGCCCACTGCTGCAGGTCGGCTGCACTCCCCCGTACACCCGACCACAAGGTCGGCACCGCCCAAGCGAGGACGGGGCCACACCCAACTCCCGTTGACAGTTAAGCATGTTCCTAGTAAGACCAGAGTCGCGGCTCATAGGCTCGTGTTACAGCAAGGGTGCCTTCAGTTGTTGTTTTCCCTTCTGCAGGGTGTGATTGGGGTTTTCCCAACTGGCCAATCCCTCTGCCATCCCGTGGCCATTCGCCTCTCTTGGGAGGTTGGCGATGGGGTGGCACTGGCATGACAATTTGCTTGTGAAGGAAAACGCGGGGAGTCTTCGAACCCTTTTGTTGTCGTCAACAGAAGGCATGTTCTGCAGCCTATGCCATGCCGTTCTGGTTCGGACGGCATCGACAGGCTTGACGCGATTTTTTTGCCTGCCCCCCAAAAAGTCAACGTTTTCGCAGCTTCACTGCACATTCTTCCAACGGCATCAAATGCCTGGGGTGCCGCCTCATTCTCATGCCTTCGCGCTAGCCCCCAGGTCACCTCGGGTTGAACCAGCGCAAGCTGAACCCCATCGCACCCGGCACCACCCGAACGGACTGCAACATCCCCAGCTCGTCGGCTGCAACCCGCGACTGCCGCTGTTGAAGCATCTCGTCGAATGCGCTGTAGCGAGCAATCGCAAGCGCGCGCGCGCGAGGTGCATTTGGCCGGCGACACCAGGCCAGTGCAATCTGCAAACAAAAGTAGGGGTGAAGGGGGACATACAAAAATTAGAAGAAAAAACAGAGAACAGAGAACAGAGAAGGAACGAGGGAAGGAGGGGACACAAGAAAGAAACACTCATGGCTCGTGAATGCAACTTCGTGACAACCAGCGCCGCCACACCTCACAAGTTCCGCACATGGCGGCGGCGAAAGTTCCCCATGCTGTCGCGGAAGTGCCTCGCTTGCCGTGTGAGGCCGCGAGCGATTGGCCAGTCGAGCGCAATGCGCCAATCGTGATAGTCGCTCTCTGCAAGCAAAAAACAACGTTAGTAGGAAGGAACAGGAAAGCGCGGACGAATGAAGAGACTTCGCGTTTCCACAGTTCTCAACTTTGCAACTAGATGCAACCTCTAACACTGAAGGACACGTCGACGACGTTACGAATAGTGAGACAACCAGCGCTTTTACGCCTGGCGCACAGCGGAAAAAAAAGACCGGGGCAATTCAATGGCTTGTCATAATGTTATAGTGCTTACATTTGTGTAGGCTGTAGTGGGGTAGCCCATAAGGGGTACAACCCAATTGGGGTTAGTACTTGTACCCAAATCTTTCATAGTTCATTCATTCTCGTTCATTCTTCTGACATGGTTTCAGAGCAAGTCCTTCGCTCGGACCGTTTTTTTTTCCTTGGGCCCACCACTGTGCTGCCCCACTAGCCGCCCCTAGGCCGGCCCATCGCCCCTAGGCCCGTCGCCCCGGCCCGTCGCCCCTAGGCCCGTCGCCCCTAGCCCGGCCCGTCGCCCCTCGGCCCGTCGCCCCGCCCCGGCGCTCCGAGGCCCGTCGCCCCTAGGCCGGCCCGTCGCCCCTAGCCCGGCCCGGAGGCCCGTCGCCCCTAGCCCGGCCCGTCGCCCCTAGGCCCGTCGCCCCTAGGCCCGTCGCCCCTAGGCCCGTCGCCCCGGCCCGTCGCCCCTAGGCACGTCGCCCCTAGGCCGGCCCGTCGCCCCTAGCCCGGCCCGTAGGCCCGTCGCCCCTACCCTGGCCCGTCGCCCCTTAGGCCCGTCGCCCCTAGGCCCGTCGCCCCGGCCCGTCGCCCCTAGGCATATCGCCCCTATGCCGGCCCGTCGCCCCTAGCCCGGCCCGTAGGCCCGTCACCCCTACCCCGGCCCGTCGCCCCTTAGGCCCGTCGCCCCGGCCCCGTCGACCCTCGGCCCGCGCGCCCCGTCGACACTAGGCCCGCGCGCGCCCCGTCGCCCTAGGCCCGCGCGCGCCCCGACGACCCTAGGCCCGCGCGCCCCGTCGACCCTGCCCCCGCGACCCGCCCCGTCAACCCTCAGCCCGGGTGCCCCGTCGACCCTAGGCCCGTCGCCCTAGGCCGGCCAGACGCCCCTAGCCCGGCCCGTAGGCCCGTCGCCCCTAGGCACGTCGCCCTAGCACGTCGCCCTTAGGCCCGTCGCCCCTAGGCCAGCCCGTCGCCCCTAGCCCGGCCCGTAGGCCCGTCGCCCCTAGGCCAGGCGCCCCGGCCTGTCGCCCGACGCCCCTACGTCCGCGACCGATGCTCCTATGCCCCGGCCCGTCGCCCGTCGCCCCTAGGCCCGCGCCTGTCGCCCCTAGGCCCGCGCCAGTCAACCCCAAGCCCTGCGAGCCACCCCTTCCGGCCTGCCCCTTGACCCTGCAGCGCGCGAGCCGCCCTTGCAGCCCCGCGCGCCGCCCCTGGTGGCCCACTCACCGCCCCTGCTACTCTGCTAGTCGCCCCTTGCGGCCCTCTCACTGCCCCTTTGTTGCTGCCTGCCCTGTGCTCTGCGCTGCTTTGCTTCTCCTCGCTTTGCGTGCTGCGCCACTATGGCCTCTCTCTGCGTGCTAGCGTTCGATCATGAGGGACGCCCCCTACAGTTTGACACGTGGCTCAATGACCTGCAGCTGTACCTACTGAGCGACTCTAGGGACAGCGTTTCGTTGTTTGACCACACGTCTGACGCCGCGCCCGCCCCTCCCGCCACAGCTGACAATGCGGCCCACTCACAGTGGCTTACTCGCGACGCTGCTGCCCGCTTAGCCATTCGCAACCACCTGCCATTGGCCGA